CCTGTTTCCCCTTCTTCTTTTCCCATGTGTTTCCTGTAGTGCTGCCCTTTGTGGAGGGGTTAGGTTGTGGTTAAGGGTCACAGAGACAATTGATGGTGGTTAGGGTGAAGTTAGGTTGAGGGTATGTATCTCAGCAAACAGCTGATTGGGGTTGGGGCTGAGCTCTTGTTAAGGTAAAGTGGGGGAAAAAAGTAAATGGTGATACAAACTTTGAAACTACACCGGCTCAGGTCCCATAGCTGTCAGATTTGGGGTTGTGGCTGATTTTGGCAGAGAATCAACTTCACTTACGGAAACAGCACTTGGGCAAGCTTTGGACTACAAGTGGCTGTTAGCTCGTCATCCATCAAGAGTCTCGCCAAAGTCTGGCAGCCAGGTGTGGAGGATTTACGCTGCTGTTGTGCTGAGCAGTTTTGTATACCTGAGGTGAAATGATCTCCTAGGGACTCATGGGATACTTTGTCAATGTTTTTATTACTTAATAAATATGCAGACAAATGTCAAATTCTTCAAGCCACACTGCCCTCTGACCTCTTTCTTGCCATAGGTCACCCACATCTGAAACAGGTTAGTGTGATGTAGGTGTAAACAAAGGACGCAGGCAGCAGACAACACATCTGACGAAGAAAGAGATCTATTGGAACCATGTCTCTTCAACAGTCATGACTGTGATCTAAACTACAACAGATGTGTCTTTGTCTATTAGAAACCCCACAGCCTCTGAGAGAAAAACTCTAACCGGCTTGTCTTTGTTGATTTTATTACTGACATGCACAATCGTTCTCACACGAGGCATTGTATAAAGTCACAGTCATGGTTAATGGCTTTGCCTCGTGCGTGTCATTGTACTAAATCAAAAAAAATGTTAGTCGTATCAGAAATGTTTCTGTGGATGTTCCATGTGTATTTAAACAGAAACCTCATACAGAAGTCAGCAGTGTAATCACTTGATCATATGGTGCACATATGTTCCACGTGCAGTCCACTGAACACACAGCTCGTAATTAAATATCAGGCCACTATTTTATTTTAATGGAAAGCTGTTACTGAGATTGAGAAAATAGTGAGTTTTCTCAACATGTCTCCAGGAGTTATGGTTCTTTTTTTTTTTTTTTTTTTGCCCTTCATCTTGGACTATGTTATTCAGTTGTGTGAAGGTCTTGTTCTCTTTCAGCCTGTTCTTAACAAGTGTCAATTCCCCAAAGACTAACAACATTCATCCATACTTAAAGATGAAAGTGGCGCACATAACTCAAGCCCCGTAGAGTCAAATAAACATCCAACCAGAGTCATGACTGACTTAAGGGGGAGGGTATGAAAACAACAATGACAGAGTGTGTCTTAAGTGATGAGCTCATAGATGTTTCAGTTGTTAACTTGTTAACTTGACTTTAGTTGTTTTGACCACTGCTGTGCCTGCTGAAAGCTCAAAAAACTGTCTTGGGTTTTCAATATGAGTGCCAGATATCTGAAAGTAATCCACATAGTGATGTTTTTGTAAAGAAAAGCAGAAGAAAATGGTGAAACAAGATCCGTTGGGGGTTTCCTCCATCAGCAAAACAAATGCAGCATAAAAAACCCCAACAATCACAGACAAATGAGCCGAAGTAGTGTTGAATCTGGGCTGCAGTCAGAGCACACGGGCAAGACAACAGAGCTCAATCCAAAGATTTCAATCCTTTCGGTTTTCCTGTTCTGTAACCCAGTGGTCCTTCATTGTATGCTGAGCACAGCACACTGCATTTCGCTGATGTTTGCTGAGGAGGTTAGCTAAACTCTAACTGCAAGGCTCAGGAGGAACGCAAAGGCGTGGCAGTAACAAGCTGTTAAACTGGATGGAGTTTTCATGAACCATGCACAGACCTAAGATAATCTACTTCAGATAAGAATGAAATGCTCAACTTTGTATTCCAGTTATGGCTAGGGTAGTTGTTTATGACGGGTAGTAAGTTGTCTGATGATATGAAAAAGATGGAGGGATTTGCTGAGAATGTTTTCTAACTGCTTTTTCAAAGTGGATTCCCAGTGGTGTTCACTGGTGCCCAATCCAGTGGTTGTTCCATAGATGCTATCAGATAAAGTTCTGAGCTTATTTATAGACCAATGTTGAGTCATAGCCAGTCCACATTAGGTCCGCTGGGATCACAGTAATGATACTTTGTGCCCTAACAGTAAAAAAAAAAAAAAATTCCTTCCATCTACTTCACATGTAACCAAAAATTAAAGATATCTTCAGTGGAAGCTACATTTCTAGAACATGGACAAAAAGACAAATTACTTCAGTCAGTCAGTTGTGCAGTCAACATTGATCCACAAAAGAACAGTCCGAGCAGACAAAATACACCCCTGCAGTGTCCATCTGCTGACCAAAACAAAGCTTTTAGAGAAATAATAGCTTAACTGGATTATCTGATGATTATCGTCCGGACAATTCACAAACACCAGTTCTGAAGGACTGCATGTGTAGTACGTGCACAATCTTTTTTTTTTTTTCTTTCTTTTTTTTTTGCCATTTCTCATTCATTCTATGTTAATGGTTTGCCAAACACACCTTCTACCTCCTCTAACTTCATTCATCTGCACTGCTGTTGCACCTCCAAGAGCAATTCATTTAAAATGTGCAGTTCTGGTGCAAGTAAAATGCACTCTCTCCTGTGTACACACTCACGCTGATAGCTGCCTGGCTAGCTGCACTCTGCTGCTGCTGCTGCTGACTGCTCTGAAACCATCCAGAGGCTGCGGTCTGCAGGGCAGCAGTGCAGAGAGATCCAGTGTCCGCCAACAGGGATTAATGCTGTCAGATGATCAGCAGTGGCATACTGGGTAGTAGGGTAATTTAACAAAATACCTCCGCAACAAACAAAATACTTGAGCTACAGTGCACTACCAGGGGTGGAAAGTAACTAGATACATTTTCTCAAGTGCTGTACTTACAACTTGTACTTTACTTTAGTATTTCCATTTTCTGCTACTTTATACTTCTACTCCACTACAATTCTGAGACAACATTGATACTCTTACCAAAGTATAGTACTTCTTCCACCGCTGTGCATCACTTTTACCTAAAATATTATTGTTTCAGTCTGAGTAGTACATTCTAATAAGTGAAAAATGTAGAATGATTTTACTGATCACTTTGATTTACTGATGTATAGTATATATAGAGTATAATAACTTTCCCCACATATCTCTATTTTCACAGAAGATCTGTCCTTGTCAGATACCTAAAACTGAAGAAATAAAGGAAAAATAATAATAAAAGACATGAAAAAGTTCTGTGGTTGTGCATAAATTGTCATATCAGCTCAGACATTTTGAATTATTAAAGCATTGAGCTTATGCTTCCTTCATCAAGTGGATTTAATCCCATTTGTCACTCCACCACGCCTCTTATCAAGCACAACAAACATGTTTAATATGACAAACTCTTGGGCAGAGGGGACAGCAGTAAGAAGCCAGGCAGCAGCTGACAGGCAGGATCGGTGTCTGAAGTCAGAGCAGAGGGCAGCTGCCGAGCAAACGGGCGCTCTCTTATGAATGACAGCTATTCACCTCCCCCTTGAACATCACATGAGCGCTGCCTCCTACTCAGCACAGCGCAGCACAATATCACATTGTGTCTTCTGATACAGTAGAGCCTGGTGGGGAGGGAGACGGAGATAACCTGGGCTGTGACCTTGAGGACAGAGATCGTCCACTGGCTACAGAGTGTGTGTACACAAGACTTACCTGACCTGACACACCACACTGTAATGGTGCAATGAAAGCAGCTACTTTTGGTTATAACCTCAGAGAAAATATCTGTGTCATGCAGTAGCAAGTAGGGCAGCACCAGCCACCAGCAAAAGAAAAACATATCATATTCTTTCCTTCTCTAACCTTCGCTCCTCTCTCCCACAGCTGCTCCTTCATCTGTTATGAAAACAGACAATGCCGGGGGTCCCTGCCTCCTCTCTATTACGTCACATGTGTCTGCTCATGGCACACACATGTGCGCCAACCTTTTTCCTTACAGCGTTTTGTTTCCGCACCTCTAGCTTGGAGATCAAACTCTGACAACCCTGCCTCCCCCTCGTGCTGTGCTTCCTGACGCCAACGTCAGACAGAGAAATGAGAATGACCCAATTACGGAGCAAAGATAACCTGCACTGAGAGGGCTGGGGGAGAGGGAGCAGAGGAGGATGACGATGGGGGAAGAGAAGAGGGGGGGGGGTCAGACTGTAAAAGAAGCTGCAGTGACATCATCACCACTGGACTTGTGGTAATAAAAAGACAGGAAAAAGATGATAGAAACGTTGGTTGGGACATGTGTTGTGTTTGGGTAAACTGCAACCGCTCCATTCCTCTGTAAAAATTCACACACACACACACACACACTCAGGGTGAAAACAGTGACATCCCTCGGTGACAGCAGTGTCAGTTGGCACAAAGCTGGATGCTGCAGTGTCTCTGTTGGCCAACCCATCCTGCTGCCATTGATTCACAGCCAGCAACTCTGATGCTATGTAACGTGTGGTGCGGCATGCAGAGCGTTGCATAATATAAAAAAAAGCCACGCTGGTAAACAAGGAGGGCGAGGACCACATCCACCCACTGCAACAGTGTTCACAGCTGGGATGGACGCCTTCGTAGGACGTTGCTGAAATACTTGCTCACTCAGTGTCATCAAACCACAGGAATGTCTGTTTCTGACAGGCAGCTGGGGGAACAACATGTGCTGCGGTGTACCAAGTGCACACATTCACATATACAGTACATACAGCACACACATGTCAGCAAACTGGACGGCATCAAGCTTAGTCACTCGTAAGGAGAACACACATACACCTTGGTTACAATAACAAACATTGTGGAAAGACATCCTTGCGAAACTCTTCCTATTGCTTCCATAAATTCCTGAGATGTGACTCTTATTACAGCCACTGCCATACAGAACACACACACACACACACACACACACACACACACACACACACACACTGAATGACATGTCTACTCACAAGTGCTTCTGAATTCTGTGCTGGGACCAGTGAAAAGGCAGATATCCCCGTTTTCTCATCTGTCAGAGGATTTGTTTCACACTCCTTCCTGCTCTGCTTGTCTTTCTGTCTTTCACCGGCAGACTGAAAAGCGAGAGTGGCTGAAGACAGAGGGAGATCTGCAGTGCTGGAACTCTGTCAGTATGCTAATGCTTGGATCTGCTCTGCCTCCCTCTCTGTTTGTCTCCTCCCTCCCTCCCTGCCTCCCTCATACTTTTCTCCAAGGTCACTGGGTAGAACTGCTTATTTGACTCCTCCCTTAGTGGACAATTGCTTTCCTCCTCAGCCCCCCCCCCACCACCACCATATCCTCCTACAGGCTGGACACCCGGCCAGTATAATTACCGTCATGATCCAGATTAACTCCTGGGTGTGCTCTTGTTGTGCAATGCCGGGCCAGGCTAGACTCAGATAGTAGAGCCGGGACGGGACAACACACAGACAGAGGATTACTGTGTGTGTGGGGGGTTTAGACCCCACAAGGAGGTCCAGGGGAGGCCAGACAGGACAGGATGGGACACTCTTAAGCCCTGCAGGGGACAAGAGAGACAAACTGAAAAAAAGAGACTTGCAGCATGGATATAACAACAAAAATACAGGCATTTAAAAAAAAAAAATGTCTTCGATGCAGGGCCTGATGAATCAATGACACACAGATTCAATTAATAGAAATTATATGAGGGGAAAACAAAGCCTGAAAATTAAAGATGATCACTGAAACTAAACTGCATTGAATTGTATCTCTCGCTGCACTGCTGTCCTCTATGCATGGACATAAACCCTGGAGTCTCACAAAGAGTCATGGACGAAACCAGAGTTAAACAGCTTAGGACTGGCAGGAGATCAGACACAAGGGGACGCAGCTGCAGCAGGAAGTCATCACCTGAATAGTCAACGGATACCACATTATTTACTATGATTCAAGTGCCACATATATATACTATCAGGCTGTGAAAAGATCAATGCAGGGACTTTTCAAGTGTGTGCACTGTCTAATACTTGCTGAGTTGTGCACTGTCCATCCCTCTGTAATTTGAGTTTAGGAGCTTTGCTGACCGTTTAGCTGCTCCACTCAGTGGCTTTAGATCCTGTGATGGGATTAGAGGGGAGAAGCGTCTGATGGGATGAAACAGAACTCAATATATGAGCAGGAAGTGCTCCTTCTGCACAAGGGGAAGTTATAGTTAGTTATAATGACGCTGATTGACACATAAGTGAGCTTCAGCTGCTTTTTTTGTTAATTAGTTTGGGGAAAATGCTGCCTCTTTCCAAGTAATAGTTTAACTTTACTGATGCAGACATGCTGGTTTCCATTTATATTGTATGTTAATGCCTAATAAGTATTTTTATTTTCTGACAATTGCTCATAAGAAACAGATACAATCATACCCAATGTATATAAAAAGCATCACTGAGCAGTATGGAATCAAATTTTCTTTAATTTTCTACTTTGGGCTTTACACCACTAGTGGGGCAACAAATGTTTGTTTGTTTTATCAGGTTTGTCCTGCGGGTGGCATCAGAGGAAAGGTCATGTTGTTGCCTAGATCAAATGGGGTTATCCTCCATACAGTAGCCCTGTTAGGACATCTCAGTTTCTGTGGTGCACAGTGTTGATGCAAACAGCACATTTCCTTAGAGTTAACACATAGTTTCTTCTGTTATGTGTGTATTATTGCCACTGAGCCCTTGAATCCTCATAAAACCTGTTAAGATAAAACACATTTAAAAAACAAAGGGGATGTGAATTCTGAATGAAACATCTCGACAGTTCACTCACTCACTCACTCACTCACTCACTCACTCACTCTAGCTGTGAATAAAGTATTAATCTAAAAAAAGTTTAAAAGTTCACACAGAACTGTTAGAAGCAGGATAAATCAATGAACTGTTGGGACTTTACATCATGACATGAGTTGTAACCTCCCAAAATTCTCTGGCATTAGTATTTAAACAGAACAAAACATATTTTGTCACTTCACCAGATTTATTTCCTTCACGCTCCACTTAAGTTTATTTTTATGACTTTTTTATTCACATATTTTGGCTTTGTGAATAATGTTAGTATGACTACAAGCATTTTGTTATTCAGTGCTGTGTTGTAGAATTTTTTTTACCAGTTTTGTGTTGCATTTCCAAGACTACATTAAAGTCAAATTCAACACATGTTGTATTGTCATTTAAATACACATACCTGCAGGTCTTCTGGCTGCTTTATGTGTGGATTGTGGATTGTTGAGCAACAGAATCAGCTCCCAACTGTTCACATAACTCACAGATAACTGTGACTGTTCACAGTATAGAATTGACAACTCAAATGGTTAATATCTAATCACACTGTGAATTAAACTGTACTTGTACAGGTGGACCCGTGGAGAAGGATGCATACAGAGCACGAGAATGTCCGCTGCAAGGAGCTTAAGTCAACACAAAGTTTAAATCCATTCATTTAAATGAGTGACTTGTTTTTATACATTTATACATATACTTATTCATTCATTCAATACACTTTAAATACATTTCATAGAAGTATTGGATAACTGACAATTAGTTTTTGAGTAAAGACGTGTTTGTATTTACTTACTTTTTGAAAATGAAGCTGGTGGGGCTCTAGTGCAGGGATTGACTGAGGCAGGAAGTCACAGGAACACAGAGGCAGGCAATATGCTGGAGGAAGACAATGAAAACTGCACGTGTGGTAAACACTGGTGTCAAAACTGGACTTCCATGGACAGACAGGAACAAGAAATGGAACGACAGAGTCGTTTTAAACAAAATATGATGCATCTGTGGAGTGTTTTGTTTTTCTGCACATGTACTAATGTGTAAATTAAATTTATCAAGAATTCAGGTTAGTTCCCAGCCGTTATTCATACTCCTGCTTTTCAGTTGCTTATTCGTAAAAATTAAAGCCGGCATTTCAGTTTAGCGTCAGCTTTTCAATAAATTTTAAAATATCCCACCTTTAATACATTATTATTGTTCAACTTTCAAAGCCAACCTTGCAGTTTAGTATCCGTTTTTCAACTGACATTAAACTATTCCACATTTTATTGGTATTATTCAACTTTTAAAGCCAGGAATGCTGTTTAGCTCTGAGCCAATATTCATAATCCTTGAGCTGCTTTTTCACACTAATTAGAGCTGGAAATTCAGTTTAACATCAGCTTTTCAACAAACCTTCGAATATTCCACATCTTTCATACATTTGCAAAGCCAGAAATGCAGTTTAGGATCCAGCCTTTCAACATCTAGCACTCACACTTGCAATTTTTTAATTGCCTCTCTTCCTTTATTTCTATGTTCACAATTTCTTCATTAATAGTGTAGAGCACATAAAACATAATCTTTTCAGAGACTCCTAAAAACATCCTTAGGAACTGGTTACATCATCGACAGTCAAGGGATCAGTCTTTGTTGTGAATAAAGCAGATTTGGTTTCATGTACTGTACTGACACCCTGTGGTTGTTTGCGGTAAGTACAACACCTGCAACAGTGCTTTTATAATTAAATGAACCACGTGAGATATGATGATCTGTATATAATGTACTTTAGCTATTCAACTCCAGATAAAAAGTATCAGCTGTAGGATGGAGTTTAATTAAAATAAAGTGTTGCCACTCTTGAGTCTATTAATGTGATGGTGATAATGTGTGAGAACTTTAAAACTGTTTTACAGACTGCATCCACACATCAAATTATACCCAAACTCATGGTTATGAACTCAAAATCCAAGGACACGTTGAGTGACAATTTCTTTTTTGTATTTCAAGAATTTTGGAAACAGCATGCGCAAAAACAAACAAAAGAAATACAATAATTAAACATGCAACATCAATGAAACATAAAGTTGGGCCAGCCAACAGATAATTCTCACAAAATACAAGAAATAGATGAACAAAACAACAACAACACAAAAACATAATAATAATAAAAAAAGAACTGAGTAGGAACACAAGTTGATGGGCTGTTGTTCCGGTACAGAACCAGCAGATGGAGGCATACAGTGTGAGATTGGTAACACAGCACATGAACATATGAAGTGAAATGGAAAACTAACCGTCTCCCTCGATAAAGAGATCTTAATCTCAACGTACCTCTGGTTGAATAAAGGTTAAATAAATAAAAAACCCAATGAAAATTCCATACAATGAAGATGTTTGATTACCATTACCTGGGTGAAATTCAACAGCCATTATGTCATATTTATGTCATTTAGGCTGGCGATCACAACCTTGGACACTATGTGACAGAATGAATGATAAGTAAAATAGGACACACAGAGGATTTCTATCGTCCCGTGTACTCAATCTGTTCAGGTGAGTCCAAAAGGCACATCACATTGCAAACAAAGAAGGATGGTTAGCACACCCTGGTAACATCTGTAGTTTCAACTCACTGCCATACACTGGCGCCTTTGTAGGGAAGATCACACCGTAATACTGGTACACACTCTGAAACATCATTTCAAGCCCTGCTTTTAAAATCCATAATTTCTCTTTTATTTCATTTAAATAAAATACCACTTCAGGCCCCAATACATCACAACATGTCGAGGGAGGGTCATGTAAAAAAAAAAAAAGGAAGAATCCAACCAGTATGATGACTAAGAGACATTTATGATGAACAAAATAACATGAGGCAATTTAAATGAAAAGAAATTTAAACAGCACATAAACATGACTGGTTGAAATAAACCATGAATGACAACAAATACAGTAAACGTTCTTTTTTTTTCCTTCCGTGTGCTAACAAAAAGGCAAAGCAAACTTTGAATACTGCATGAAACAGAGATGGTTGTTCAATACATAGTCAATACAGGTTAATGTTAAAACAGATCACTGGTCTCTGTGACTTTCCCTCATCAACAGTTCTCATACATCCGTAAAATCAAACTGTTTTAACACTGATTTGTCCGCAAAGGAATCTCTTTTTGAATGACCTGAGCTGTACCAAGTAGTCTGCATACAGTGCATCAAATTACAACCAAATACTGAGTACATACAATACACCCTAACTGTCAAGTACATACTCTAATTCTTCATTCATTATTTGTAACACATTTGTGCCTGTATCTCTCACACCTGCCTCTGAAGTCATGTTTTAAGATTGTTGTGATTTCAAGGCCATTTTTTTCCTGTTTGTCTAGCCATCTGTTAGCTACTAAACATAAAAAGAAACACAGGACATGAATGCAAGTTGTCCTCAAAAAACAAAGTCAAGAGGTCAAAAAATATCAACTCAGACTAACTGTGCTACTGCAAATAAGTACGGAAAGAATTATAGGTAGTGTTCAGAAGTGTTATTAGTCTCTATGGATGCCCCTTTGTGCCTACTGTCTGAACTGGCTCGCTGGCTGTGAACTATGACCTCACTGTAGGCTCGTACAGTAGATTGGGTCGGGTCAATTACATCACAGTGTCAAGGCATAGCATGGCTCATCGTGGCAGAAAACAGGAAGTAGCACCTGATGGTGATAAAGAAGTTAAGGGCCTGCACTGGAAAGCAACGCCTGTATGCTAGTTTAAGTAATGTAAAAAGACATTTCTTTAAATGACACGTGTCTTAGGGGGTATTATACACTCTTTGTTTAGTGAAGGCAGCATGAGAATGAAACCATGACACAGAATACTGAGTCCAAATAAATGCAGCAAAGTCCAGAATGTGGATCCACAAAGGCCAGAACCTGGCATGATCCTTCCCTGATCCACAATGTGCAGGACAGACACATGGGCTGTCCAAACACGTCACGTCCTCTCATTTTAAAAGGTCCAACAAACACTGTTCATATTGTTCCTCACTTCATTACGCTGTCTCTGATTCGACATACTGCAGTTGATCTGATTCTGTACTCTGAATAGTCTAGGAGCTGTATCAACAATCCTGTCGTTCAGTTTTTCATGAGGGCAGCCTCTTCAGGTAGAAATCTTTATTAGCCATCTCTTCCCTTCAGTTTAGCAGGACTATCTCTCTGCTGTACACCCTCAGTGACTTCCATGGGAAGTATTGTCAGATTAGGCAAAGCAGGCAGGCAGGGTCAGTGGCATGACTGGTTAGAGCTACAGACCGGAGGAAGGGGCTTCAGCTGTGGTAGCTGGGCACAGCTGCCTGTTTCTGGGAGAGCCGCAACAGCTCCTCCCTGATGGCCTTGATCAGGGAGGCAGAGGAGTGGGTAGGAGGAGATGTATCCAGGGGCGGTGGGGCTGACAGATAACCCACCCCCGTGTCTAGGTGGACAGGGGGTGCTGAGGGCTCCCTGTTGCCACTTCTCGGCGTCTGGAAGATAGAGGAGGGCGAGTAGTCAGGACAATCCAGGAACTGAAGGCAGCAAGGAAGGGTAAACAGAAGCAGAAAGAGGGAGAGGAGGAGGAAGAAAAGAGAGGAAAAATGTAAGAAGACTGGCAAGTGATAGAACTAGAGTGGGAGAGAAGAGAGAGAACTAGACAAGATTTTCAGAGCAGCTTAGGACTATAGGAAAAATACATTTGTGTATATATATATATAATTATGAGAGAGCTTAAAGAATAAAGCTGGCATTATTCTATTTTCCTGAAAGGGTCAAACCTAACAATATCTGTCTCCTGATACTTTCTGTTTTCCTACTGATAAAATCTAACCGGATTTAATGTTTTATTGGGGACTATTTTCAGCTGGTCCTCTAATAATGCAGGATACAGTAAGGTGGTGTACTGCATGTGAGATCCACTTAAAATAAACTAAAGTGCACAAGTTCATGGCAACTAAGGAACATGTCATCCAGTGGCTCACTGATGTGTTTTTAATGGAACAGCCCGATCAGGTTTTGGATACACAGACATTTCGTCAATGAATTTCATTGTTGTTTTTTGGTCTTTTTGTGGTATTTATTGACAAAAATTCCCCTTGGCTAAATGATTCAAACCTTTTACAATTGTTTTCATTTCAGGTTTTAATGGATAGAAGACCTTAGTCTTAACTAAATGAAATCTGTGATTCACTCACTGCATCTTTTTCAGGCTCTGTCCTGGAGAAATTGTCGTCATGGTAGTGGTTCCAGCCAATGCCTCCGTTGTGCCCTGGAGCAGCCCTGACCCCCGCTGGGTAACCATTCATCCGGCTGGACAATCCCACCTGCGTAAGATGATGGAGCTGGGCACCTACACAAGCACGCACACACACACACACACACACACACACACACACACACACACACACACACACACACACACACACACACACACACACACACATCACATCAGAGCTACAATACCTCAGACTCAAACCTCAGCAGCCCATTTAATATACTTTGATACAATCACTACAGTGTGAAAAACACTCTGTCTCTGCTGTGCAGCCCTCTGTATGCCAGAATCCATTTCTATTAGTCTAAGTCACATGATGGCAGCAGCATCACGCCAGGTCCTTTAATAATTCAACAGAGAGACAAGGCTCTTTCAGTTTGACAGGTTTATCTGGTGGAGGTGTGTTTGTATTAAGGAACAGTGCTGTGGCCCACATCCAGAAGTGATCTAAAATAAAGTGTATCAACAGCCAAACACTTGTTTGAAGACAATAAATAAGTTAATCAACCTTCTAGTGTTTTCCTCTAGATGTGTCTGTTTGTCCTTTCATGCTGAAACGTTTTATACTTTAATGAAGCTATATTAAAATGGAAACGAGATTAAGACATACGTATGCAACATCTGAATCCAACAGTATTAGTAGGCATGAAAAGAAATGTATGCTTCCATGTGTCTGTGTGTATAGGTTCCACTTGTACCTGTAGTTCCCCCTACTGGTCGTGGTCTGGCAGATGAGGGGATCTCATCAGCGTAGAGGCCCCTGCTGGAGTACAGGCTGTCTGGCTGAAGCTGCTCACACTGTCCTGCTGTCTCTCCTGGTGGCAGGTAGCTCGAGCCAAGGCCCTGCCTGAAAGACAAAGAAATGTATTGCGACATATTTTTTTGGAATTCTTCTGTTTCTGTCTCTACGCTGTCATATCAATGGAGTGTTCATAATACAGAACATCTGTGTCCAAATCAGCTTTTTGTACAAAAGCAGTGACAATATGGTCATATATTGTACACTGCTGCATACAATTCTTGTATGAGTGAGAGCATTGGACAAATCCATACCGTGAACTGTATGTTGTTCAGCTTTTGTGTGGATGCATGACCATGCTAACAGGGTCTTGATTTTACAGTGTCTTCTACTGTAATGTGGTACAAGATCTAACTTTAAGGTTATATATACACAATTCACTCGCCACTGGATGTCACACAAGCATACACCAGCATCTCAGGCTACACGAAGGGAAAGAAATAAAATATTTTACCAAAACCTTTGTTAGTCTTTTTACAGTCTTTCCAACAACTAACGCTGGTTAGATGAAAAGTGTAAGCTAACGTCAATCCTTAGGGACAAACGTGCCCATCAAAGTACGTCCACTAAAAGTGCTTGTTTTTTCCACTGACTGGCACAGATTGTTGCTGAGTGTCTGAAAACATTAAGGAAAGGATCCTTTCAGACATAGGCCTTTAGTTTAACCAGAAACAGCCATAAAATCACAATAATTTTACCTCGCTCATCACTGTAACATCATTACTTTATTCAAAGTGGTCAAAATAAAATTCACCAAAACTGTCTTTAGTCTCTCAAATACATCAATTGACCAACGTAGATGAGAAAGACAGCAGTTTCAGTCGCTCTAATCTATTGACCGGCTATGTAAACAAACCACAGAGAGGCTGCAATAGCAACACGGGGGGAGGGGGTGTGATGCTATTCTCTGTTCAGGGGACAATTACTGCACTATTTCTAACACAGCAAATAGTTGTTTGCTGCTATATTAATGTTTTAAATCTCATATAACCTTTAAAATTGGTCTTGTGCAATTCATATAGTCTTAAACAATTCACAATTTACAACCACAAAGTATAACTAAATGGCTGACAGCTGCCAATGATACTTTAGTACCACCGTGCTCCAATCTCTGGTGGTGATAAGTTGTTTGACCACATCATTTAGGGTTGGTTGGCTGCTCTGCTCTCTGGAAAATGAATTGACTTCATTAAAAAAAAAGCTGCTGCTGTGTTATGACATAAATGTGTGAGTGTGTATGGGTGCCTTGGTCTTTTTGTATCCAGTTAAGAGACCGCTGCTTGGACCTGATCCATTAAACCAATAAAATAAAGATGACTCTTCTTTCATTATTTATGAGCCGCAACTCACTTGATGTACTTAAAGAAAAACATTCCCACTGGTAAAGTCGTGGAAATCAGGCCGTACGGGCTCATAAGAAATAATTTCGGTGTAGGAGTGAATGGAGTGAATGTCAAATAAGCATATTATTTATTAATTTATACATGAATGCTCAATTTTCGTCAATCGCTCTACTACTCTACTAACCTTGGTATCAGGCCTTGGACAGGAGGGGGGGACATGCCCAGATCAGTGAACCTCTGGAGAAGACAAGTTAAGACACACAGTGGAGAAAATGAGTACCTATAAATATATATATATATATATATATAAATAGGGCAGCTAAACTACACATTAATGTTTGCAGTTGTGGCTCAGGTACAATCAATTTCTAAAATATTCAGTAAACTAGTAGATGTTGATACTTTTTATAAAATCAAAGCGGTACTGTGCCTATTGCTATGTAAAATGTATTTGGGCCGTGGGGTTCACCTCATAGACGGGAGAAAACATTGTTATTTTTACCAAGCATGGTTTTCTTGGATATCCTTCTTTTTTACAGCTGACCTTTTACAGCATATTAAAGCACTGAACCTGCAAAAGCTGAACCAGCAAATAGCATTTTATGGCTCCACTGCTCACTGTAAAGTCTCTCTCTATATTTGTCACCTGAGGTGAACACCGGTGTTGGACAGAGAAGTGATTAATGTATGTTGATGGCTGTAAAATGTATTTAAGAATGAGTACGCAAGTGAGAAGTTAAATTACCATAGTGTTAATAAACCTATATTATAGGGATATGTTTAGTTTTAGTACCATTAAGCCACATATAATAACCTTGAAATACTATACTTGATTTTTTCCATTGAGAGAGTGGAATTGTTTTTTGAACAGTTATAATGCTTACAGCATGACCCTTACTGCTAATCTAAGAGTGATTTAATGGGGAAAGATCCTTACAGCTTCATGTAATATTAATATAATGCTCTGCCATCTCTAAACAACTTTTTTTCCACATATAATGCCCATGAGTACTGAGAAACTTTAATCTAGCTGAGCTCTACCCTTCATTATGAATTTCAAAGAAGAGGATATGCTATAGATAACTTCTACTTCCTCTCTTGACAGTTCTACCCCTAACACAAAACACAACGAACACAGTGTGTTGCACATGCTCAGTATTATGGACTCCAGGCTTAATGTGTTAACAAACTGTGGCACTGCATAAACCGGCCTTTGTATCGTGCTGCTTTGCACAGACAAACAAATACAAAGTAGGAACACTGCGCTTATTATTCCAGCAGCCTTCAGAGCAGTTATATGACTGTACTTTCTTTGAAACCAGCCTACACTGACAGGAGCTAATGCCGCTCACACATATGCAGGGCATATTACCGTAGAGTCTTAGGAGTTGTAGATAGCAGCAGCTCCATGGGGGTGACAGATGGAGGAATACTTAACTGATTAGTTTGCTAAGAGGACGCGATTAAACTTGAGGCTATAGGCTTCTTGCTGGGAATGAGCTAAAAAAGCTTGAGAAAGGGAGGAGATAGTGAATACAAAGGCTTTCACATGTGTCTATTCAATCCTGCTGTTCTGCTATTTCAAATATAAACAGGGAGGCTATTTTTTTTAGTCCGTCCCCAGATTAGTGACATGAACAGATGCACGACAGAATACAGCTTACGGGAACTAGCAAAAGCTTAGATACCATGGACAACCATTTGTTGCTAACACAGTTGTGTACAGTACAACATGAAAGCATTGGGGGTTTATACTGACTGAACGGTTAATGCTCTATCAAAGGTACCCTGTATATATAAGCGCCAGGTTTGGCTACTTACTCCAGGGAAAGGGCCAAGAGCTGGGTAGGAGGGACCCCAGGGTCTGGGGCCACGGCCGGGAGGGCTGGAGCCAGGGGGGTTGGTGTTGACCCCTGGGAGAGTGATCCCTGCTGTGCTGCCCTGAGAGGTGGGCGACACTAGGGCGAAGGCATCATCCAGCAGTGAGTGCATCTGCTGCCGTGCCTCCTCAATGGAGGGCTGCGGGGGCATGTAGGGTGGTGGGGGAGGGGCGTGACCTGGAGGAGAGGAAGCGGGACCAAGGAAGACGTCATCTGTGGGGGAGGGGCTCCTGTGAGGGGATCCTGGGCCTTGGTCAGGGTCGGACTGGAACGAACACAACATATTTACAGACAGTTAGAGACCTAGAGGTTATACAGTCAGAGGTGGGAAGTAACAACGTACAAATATTAATATTATTAAGTTGTTTTTTTAGGTATCTCTACTTGAGTATTTTTTTAACTTATATTTTTAAAACAGCCGGTAGAAATGTAGAGAGTACTAAGAGACTACTTTTATACTTTGATTACATTTCAGAGCCTGTACTTTTTCTTGAGTAAAGAAGTTGAATCAGTACTAAAGTAGTAAAGAATTTTCTTCCTCCTCCTGTACTACTCACTATGTAGGCCACATTGTTGACTCCTGGACACTTTCTGTAAGCAGCATCATTGTCTTCAGTGATGAGGTGGTCTTTGTCTGCCTCCATCATGCCTCCACTCAGCTGCTCCTTCATCCTCTGTTTGGGAGAGCGCCTCCCTCGACCACTCGGAAAAAAATAAAGAAATGTTAATGTACTTATCTCTATTCTTTATTTATTACACACCTATATACAAATATCAACTTGTTCAAACAAGTGCAATGACAAAAAACATGAGCCCTAACCTCTTCTTGGTTCCCATGAAGATGGAGGCCATCTGTGCATCTGGGTCCAGGATCTTATCGATCTGCATCTGTGCTTTCTGGTAGATGCGATCCTGGTCCTTTGCATCTGTGAGGCCACTCGTTGTGTCATCCATGGCAGGGAAGTCGTAGTGGCCCTTCCTCTTGGCACGCAGACGGATCTTGTTACGATGGTGCTCAATTTCAGACTTGTGTCTCAATGCTACCTGGATCTGAGGAGAAAATTACGTTGTTAGACAACATCCTCAACATCTACACAGACTGGATTAACTGTAGATGAGTTTAGACTTAAAATAGCAGGATAATGATATTTCATGCTCATTCATTGCACGCAGATAGTGACAAACCACAGCAACTACAGCAGCACCATAGAATAAATAATATTATGTATATTTTAAACAGTAAATTAGTTAATTTTATGTTCAAAGGGACTTACAACGCCCCTATTAGGCCTTCTTTATTACATCAATAAGAATAATTCCAGTTTTTGATCCCTCTGTTCCTCACAAAGAACCAATTTTGTAATTTTCTAATGTAAGAGACAATTTAACAGGAACAGAGGTGCTAACAATGGGTATTAATGTGTGTTTACAGTCTTACAGGGGGATAATACACAGTGTGTGTTTTTACACCTGTTTCATCCAAATCAATTGATTCTGCTTTTTTTTTTTAAAATGTGGTCGCACTAGTTTGATGAATTTTCAAGTATCAGTAGTGCTGTCATGCTTCACCAGTATCAGTAAAAATTCACTCGACTCAGGAACATTCTCAAATCATCCCTTCAGATGGAAAAAAAAAGTTTATACTTTAGGATTAATTTATTTTCTAAAAAAAAAAAAAGTTTTTGCCAAGCAAGAAAGTCAGAAGAGCCAACCTCTTTGTTAATTTGGTTGCTGTTAGACAGTTTGCCGTTGATGGGTGGGCTGTGCAGTGGTGGGACAGGCATGGGCTGCATGGCGATAAGCTGGACTTTGTTGGGGAGTCTCCTACTTGCATCTGTGGCACGAGACATCCGATCAACATGTTCAAAGATGGAGGCTGAGGACAGCTGCTCGTTTGTACCATTCATAGGAGGGGGACCTGAGGAAGGAAGCAAGAATGTAGAAAAACAGAGATCATGACTCAGTTTGCACAGTTTAGTCATTCGCAATCAAAATGCTAATACTGACTTAAACAAGGGGACAGAGCACAGTAACTACTGCATAGCAATCTCTACAAAAGATTAACCTTTTTATTCAGCTGACATGACTTGAAATATGACTTGAAAAGCGGGGAGTAAATGTTTCCAGTCCTAACATAATTGCTGATTTCTATTTGCAAAAGCTTAACTTCATTTCAAACAAAGTTTTTGTTTGTTTGTGAAGCTGATATGTGGTGACTGACAACTCAGCAGACAGTGATGGATGGTGAGAACAAGCCGAGCACAAAACTACCACATACTAACATACAACACACAGCTGCTGGAGGTCAAGCCTGAGGTCTATGGAGACACAGACGGAAAGACATCAAACTCTTACCAATTCTATTCTTGCCTGCAAACCACAACAGAAAGGAAACAGAGTTTTATTAAGGTGAAGGAGATCAAATAAAAGCACCTTAGATAAAAATGGTTACTGTATGTTGACAATAAAAATAAAATTTAAAAAAGCCTAGCGAATTGAGGTCTGGCCACCATCCAGGACTGTTTAAGAAAAATAAAGAGGAGAAGCAAAGAGAGAGGGAAATGCAAGTGAGTCATCAAGATGGATACATTTCCAGAACTGATAAAAGCTTCTCGTCTGGCCTTGTGAAGTTCATTAAAAAGAGAAAAGAAAGGAAGGAGCTGAGAGGAAAACACACACAGATCAAAACACCGGCTTAATGAGCAAAAAGAAAGACGGCACATTACATAATAATGAGCGTGTCTCAACCTATGTCTAAACATTGTGGCAGAACATATACATTCCCAGGCAGAGATTTATCAATAACAAAACAGAGACCATTCCTGTGTGGGTGAGTCAGGCTGTAGACTGTGTGCCTGACTGCCTCTGGCTCCAGCATGTAGTCTGTGAGTGACATTGCAGGCTTGAATCTATCAACAAGCTGTCAGATAGAGTAACTTCAGCTATTTTTTCTCTCCTATTCCCTTCTCCCTCCTCTGTCTGGACTTCTTTCGACCACTGAATGGACTTCCTACCAGGTGTTTCTTTTACCTTCACTGTTCCCCTCTATAATCTTTATGTCACTGGTTGACGCTGCAGTTTTCCTCAGTCTTTCTCTGCTTTGTCTTTTTTCACCACTTCACAGTCTCCCCTTTGCTCTCAATCTGGCCCTCTTGTCAATCAAATCATCACAGCTTGATTGCTCTCTCTTTTTCTCTTTATGTCTGCCCAATCCATTCAGTTTCCTCCTTCCCCTCCCCCTCGTGTTTGCTCTCTGTGTTTGGAGTGATGTAAGTGTTTCCAAGGCCACTTGCCGTTTAAAACATTGATGGGGACCTTACGGGCCTGCTTGCTGTCGCTGGGCGTGGCGTAGGCTCTCCGGTTCTCCTCAGTTGATTCCCGCTCACTGGAACGGTCACTTACCACCGAGTCACCGTCTGACGGCGAGATCCTACCCGGAGAAGACACACATGAATAATAGAAGCCTAAGAACACACCAACATGCTGAAATCCCATGCATAAATGAAAACAGTGTTTTTCCAGAAAGGTAAAAGTCTTTTAAGAAATGATAATATGATTCACAATTAATTTGTCCTTGACAGCTATCAAGTAAGGAAAAACAACAAATACCAATCCCACACTTGACCAGTGTTTAACATTTAAGAGGAGTTACTGGCAGAGAGATGTCAATTGTGCATAATTTTCCTCTGAACATCTAGAAACATCTCAGAAATCCGACTATAATGACATTTATTTATTGAAACTAGTACATATAGTAGGTGCCTGTCATCATAATTGAATGTAAATGATATAGACAAACTGACAGAATGCAAGAGTGAAGATCCCTCACTGTCTAGTGCATAAATAATTGATCTGAGGATCTGTCAAAAGCTTTTTGTCTGGTTGGCTGACTGTCCCAAATGAGGTGAGCGGAAAAGACGAGTGATGGGGTAAAAAATACTAGTCTAAAATGGAATGCTAATGTGAATTCAGGGCCTCTTTCTGATACGTTTTGTGTTATGTAACCTGTGACAGCATAACCTATAGACATAACCTGATTAATGAATTTCTTCATATTCATTTAAACTCATCATGAACTGTTTTTCAGGCTCCTGCCCTGTACTACGAAAGAGCACTGACCTTTCTCGCCTTCGCCCACTACGGGACGCCTTGGTGGAGGAGGCCGAGTTTTTGGACATTGGAGTGGGGATCTCCCCATTCTCAGATGGACTGAGGCCATCTTTAATGGACATGGGCAGGGGTCCAGGGCCAGGCCCTGGCGGGACAGGCTCCTGAATTACCATGACATCATCCTTACTCTGCTGGCCAAGGTGCAGCTTGGCAAAGTCAAAGCCTTTCACACTGGGAGCCTGCAACTGAGGACAGGAGCAGAGGAAACGGAAAGAGTGGAGGAATACACAGGGAATAAGGATTGGAAAGACATATGGCAGAAGTTATAGAGGACAAAGAGGGTGTGATATATAGAGTTCAATAACATAGAGTTCACCATCTTTAAGTGGATTTGAATTTAAATGTGACATTAATCAGCAGTTTAAAGGTTTAAACCCACGGTGGCAAATATGCCATAAATTAAGACAGTGACTAGCCAAGGATGTGGCACGGAAATTCCCTCCAGACCAAGAGCTGTGAGTGACTGAAGTGACATCCAGACAGATTGAAAGACAAGTTTTGAGTACATAATTAAGCTGAATGACCGATGAATGGGTGTCCACGAGGGAGACTCAGACAGACAGGGATTAATGAATAAAGAGAAAGAGGGACAGGGAGATATGTGGGGAAACATTGAGCCGCTTCCTTCCCTTTGCAGTAGTGGGGGATGGAGGCAGTGAGACCATGTGAGTGTAAAGCCCCTGGGACTTTCTGCCAGCAAAGGAGTAAACAGAGGATGTCAGATCTCAACTCAAACACTGGTCCTATGACACTGAAATGTGTATACAAGAGAGGAGATGAGTGACATGACATGTTCTTGTTAATTCTCCGAATTATATGTAGTCACTGACTTTATTGATGCAAAATGTCTGGCTTAGAAGAGGCTCTTTGGTATAAAACTGCTAATCCAGTGTGACGCTTGCCAGTATGAAACTGCTAATCCAAAGAGAGAGAGAGAGAAAGAGAGAGAGAGAGAGAGAGAGTGTGTGCATAGTTTGTGTATGCTGCTCTCCACTGCATATAAACAAGGCCAGCTGCTTGAAAGGGAAAGCACTGAAAAAGCTGCAGCTGAAATAGTAAAAGCTGTTTCATTATAATTAACACGCTGACGCAGAATGAAAGAAAACACACAGCTACTGATATCTCCCACACATTATATACTCACTAATTACTATTTAGCCCTGTCTAATTGTAAATTGGGGGAATCACAACCAACAGTCGATACACACAAAATGACGTCTACACTACTATCTACTACTTCACAACAAAGTGATGTTGTACATTCCTCAGAATCTAAAGACTATAAACACACCAATACTCGAATCCACAGTGAAATCCACCATAATGTGTCATACTGGATTTTCTGTGTTTGGACATCACAACCGGGTAAAGCAGGAAACCTAATGTCTATTAATGCAAACAAACACTTGTCTCTATGGCTACTGAACAGTATACCTCCTCCTTGGCTCTCCTCCCTTTAGTTAACACTTTCATTTTGTCTTCTTTCTTCATCTCTCCTGTTTTCATTATCACTGCTTTGTGCCCTTGTTTTCTTTGCTCTTCTGGTTTAATTCCTTTCTTTTTAAAGCCCTCCTTTGCCTCATCTTTGTCCTCATCTTCCTCCTCCTCCTCTTCCTCCTCCTCCTCCTCTTCTTCTTCCTCTTCCTCCTCCTCTTCTTCTTCTTCCTCCTCACTGCTCATACTCTGTTTGCTCTTGGGAGGAGGTATTGGTGTCTAAGCAGAAGCATAGCGGATAGCATAAATACTTCGAGTGATGATGCTGTTGTCTCTGTATCATATCTTAAAAGTCAAAAGATGAATTATTAACTACTGACTACATTATATAACTGTGCAACATTTGAACAGCTACTGTTCAGACAGCAAACACACACAAACTCTTCACAATATCTCTTCTAGAAACCACCAGACACTGCTCTGTACCTTCCCTCTTTTAACCTCTTTCTTCTCCTCTTCTTCCTCCTCCTCCTCCTCCTCTTCTTCTTCTTCATACTCCTCTTCTTCTTCCTCATACTCCCCCTCACTAAAATCTATATGCTTTTTAGTTGGAGGGAGTGTCTGGCGAAGGGTGGTCCTTGATTCTCTGAATGAGGTAGTAGACTGAGAGAGGGGGAGTGGTGTTAAGTGACAGATGATTGTGTTAAGCAGAGAGGGCTGGCTAAGTGCTAGTTACTGCACATTAGATTCATTGCATTAATGCAATGTGGAGGGTTTAGTTCACAACTCAGCTCAACTGAAAAAATGTAAGTGGAGGGGAATGAAAGCCAGACACAGACAGAAAGATCAACCAGTAAGTAAGGTAGCTGAGTAAATACAAACCCCGAAACAGGGAACACGGAAAAAGAAATCTATTTAAGAACTGGTTTGGAGTAGTATTCCTTTGTCAGCGACATCTGACTTAATGGTGGCAGCTGAGAAAGAGCACTGCAGGTGTGTGCTACAGAGATGCAGTTACTGCTGTACCACAGAGAGTAAAAAACTCTTTTGTTGTTGGACATAGAAGCACAGTATAGATGCCGTGCACCTGTGCATTAGTCCTACATGTCTCCTGCACATTAATCTAACTATCATAAATAAAAGCCACTTTTAATTTGCATCACACATGATTAACTTGGGACTGGAACAAAATGATGTACATAAACAAAAGATAAGAGCCCAGACACTGCAAGCCAAGCTTTGGTATTGCTGGTATCACAATCAATTAGCACTATGCAGTATACTGTATGTCTAATAAATAGTACTCTAGTAAATTTAAACACCTGTTTGTGACCCTGTTCTCTTAAAGTGAACATATTTTAGAAAAGACCATATAGCCACTTCATTATTGTTTCAAAATAGTGTTGTCATCAGGATGTACAGTATCTCAAAGAGGGACATCAAAGAGCAGAAGAAATCTCCCTTGTGTCAATTAACTTCAAGGCAAAATGTGCTAGTGTGTGAGGAAGTGAGGAAATACTAAAACAGGAAACAACTTGTTTTGCAAATGTAATTACTCATATTTCAAATGAAGGTTTGTTGGTGTTTTGAGTAAAAGAGTATGTAAGAAAACATCAAAGGCGTTTTAAATAAAATAAAACAAGCAGCTCATTTCATGTACTAGCAGCATCATGACATCTAATCCAGCTCATGTCCTTTAATAAGTCTCTACTGGGGTCATTAAAGTTTTACTAACTCCATCTAAAATAAGAAATGAGTCCAGAATCTGCACAGTCCTACAGCACATTCATGGCAATGACAGATACACCTAATTAATTAGCAGCCCATTTAGATTTAAAAGTGGCCTCATCTTTCTGAATTTCCACATCAACTGCCTTGAATCTTTCCCTGCAGAACACAATGTTTGGGAAACTGGTTTTACCATTAACATAACGTAACATAATAACCATAAATACATACACCAGCAAGTTGTTAATGCACAAGAATGATGTGATTATCACTGTGTATCAACCACAGCTGTCCTTTTTAGGTAAGTTTTTAGCTGTTCCTAAAATAGAACAGGAATAGTTTGACATTTTGGGAGATGCGCTCATTTGCTTTCTTGCTGAGAGTTAGATGAGAAGATCAATAGCACTCTAATGTCTGGGGGAAGCACAGCAGGGGGAGACAGCCAGTGCGGTTGACTCCAAAGCTAAAAAATACCAGCATCTTTAAAGCTTGCTAATTAACATGTTATATCTTGTTTGTTTATTCAGAACACAAACCAAAATTAAAAACCACAAGTTTTGGTTTTATTGGGAGTTATGATGGATGGAAATGATGTCTTTTCTCCTTGATGACACAACAGTGACTGTGGTGCCAATTACTGTCAACTTAATCAACTCAAATATGTCACTTAAAGAATGAACTGTAGATCTGAAATGACTTCAAAAAATGGACACAATGAAGCCGGACATGAAGTCAGACACTGTACAATGCTGATCTGACTCTACCTTCTGTCTCTGCTGGATGGAGGTCATGGCGTCTGGCTGGAACTCCAGCTTGTCTGTGCGACACAGTTTCCAGTAAAGGATGGAAATGATGACAATGACCACGAGGAGGGGAATCACCACCCCAATGACGATCCACATGTTGGTGTTCTCAGCGTCAGACGGTGAGGACGCCACCTTCTCTACGGCTATAGAGGAAGAGATTGAGAGAGTTTTAAGTTGAGCTTTGGGCACGAATGTGCTATATTTCATATGCTTTTCACCTCAAGTGTATTCACAAACACCTTGAGAAAGCAAAGCTAAACATGCTGTATTGTTGGAGTGCTGGGTCTCTCACTGCTGTAATCTTCAATGCAGACCTTCATTAGTTTTAATTAACACTCATTTCATCCCATGGGAAAGTACCAAAAGAGAACACAGTCAGCACAGACACACAATTCCCTTGAGGGGCTCTCATTAGGCCTTCATCCCTTGTTTAGGTTCTTAATGAGGAAGACAGGCTTTTGGTACAACATGTACAGGAGGAGGTAATTAACTCTAATGTTACTATAAACATACAATGGAACACATGGAGCCAGGAGTTAGCTTGTATCCTTTTTTATTTCCTACTAGGACCTCTTGAAAAATTGCCTTATTTGTGTCCTCTACTCTTTGCTGTACACCATATTTCAAGTCATACACCAACAAAACAACAATGATAAAAGTAATAAGAATAATAAAGTTATTCACAATAAATAAGAAAGGCCTTTCTTTTTTGTCTAGAGGCAAACATTTATTTCAAGTCAGTGGCACTGTGTTTTGTTCTAGGACACTTCAGCAATGTGGATTTTTGTAGATGTGAGCTTTAATTTAGTCTGTCCATGTCAAGAACTGTCTTGTTAATCAATACACCACTTTCCTGTTCTTGAATGGCAGTTATCTACAATGCAAGAGGTACTCACGCTGTGCCAAAATGCCCTGGACACGGTATCCCAAGACAATAGCAGCCCTTTGAACATCCAGGCTGTTGAGTAGGTTGGCTGTGTCAACTGCAGGCATCCTCTGGCCACTGGGACCTTCCACGAAATACACTACTTCCAAGGGATGGTCCACACCCACCAGCCGGCTCGCACTTACAACCTGGGAGGGGTAAAAAGTAGAAAGGTACAGTGAGTCATTGCTTTTGCTTTGCTTAACCATCTGTGTAAAATAATGTGGTATATGCAGTTAGTGCAGATATGAAAAACTTTAAGTTGAAGTGAGAGCCAGAGAGCTGTACAAATGCAAACAAACAGGTTTCTGACCAAATATCCAATACCTAATAAGATGTAACGCCACCCTTTATCCATAGAGCAACTTCAATCCATGTCTGAACACTGTTACCCAAGTCTTGCATTTAATGTGCTGAGCTACTGGAGTAAGAGTATTTCTTTAAGTGATAAAAGAGATAGAAATATGTTTACCATTAAAGTTCAGGAAGTTTGAATCTGGCATTTGTCTGGTCTATCTTTGGCTTTCATACAATTACACAGAGCAATCACCAGGCCTACTGACTACTACAAGATGGCTACCGATACTGTCCACAACTCTTCGAAACACTTGGCAGACACCATGGCATCTTCTGTTCTTATATCAAAACATAAACATGTCCAGATGTAGGAAAAAGGCTGAAGGACACTTACATATTATTATTTACTTATTCGCATTGCTCAGGGACCCAGGCTTTTGTGGTTTTTAGCAATCATCTTGTTAAAGGTCTTTATATCTATGCTGATGAACTTTTACCATGAGACCACTGTTTGCCTTTCCTTTGTTTGTCCCTATTAGTTTCTAACTCTGAGAACGCACACACAGCGAGGTGCGGACTAGTGTGAGCTTCAATTCAATTCCAATAAAATGAACATTAGTTGTGTGACATGTTTAAATGTTGATGTTCCCAGACAACAAGTTCAACAGACAGCGCTCAAGCAACTGGAAAAGAAGTGTTTCCAAAAATGAACATAGGATCTCTGTATTAAATATGGAATGTCTAATGAAGGCCCTAATGAGCCAAGTGTCACGATTTCAATAATAAAGATGACTTCTTAATGGAGAGTGTGGAAGCTCATTTTCTATAAAACTCTGTAACATTAATCATTTGAGTTTTTGTGCAGAAAACTACAGTTCAGGCACCAACTATTTGGCCTCATTAGTTGTCACATGCTGTATTGAAGCTTGCTAAACAAACATCCCTGTGAAACTACATATTCGAGGCTTCTCTCTCTGATCTGTCCCTTTTTCAAATAGCAGGCACATAAACAACACGTGAATAACATGTGACAAAAATATATAATAATAGCACACTTATGATACATCACTTTACATTCTGTATTCCCATCAGAGTGTTTATTGTTTAAATATTTCCCCATGTTGTCTAATACGTCTGTGTATGTGTGTGTGTGCAGTCTCCCTTTGGGTGCCCTGAGGCGCAGTGCAGTCTGCTGTCTGCATTACTGGAAAGAGTAAAGCGCAGGTCATGGCTGGGTTGACACAGAAAAACGGCTGGGCAGGCTCCCTCATCCAGGGTCTAATCCAGTCCATGCATGGTTATTAGAGTGGAAAGACGGCAGCATAAATGTGTGTGTTAATGCACAACCCTAATTCAACCTCCTCTTTTATCTGTCAGGGCAGACTCATAAGGTTTTCTCATAGGTGACAACACCACACTGCTTCTGTCATGATGGTCTAGGGCATCTGTTTGAGATGTGTCTATGGGTGTATGTGTGTGTGAGCAAGAGAGCGTAACAAAGGATTCTTCTGAAGTTCAGACGAACCTCACTCTCATTACATCCAACAGACGCTCACACATGGGTTTGAAATGAAAAGATTATCCAAACTAGCCTCCCCAATGACAGTATCCTATCAAGGGTGGAAGGAACAAGAACTCATAGTATGGTTTCTATGTATAACACGTGGCTATATGTGGCTGTGAAAAATATCATTTTGAAAGGCAGAAAGGATACCAAAGTCTAAAATTAGAAATATAATCTTAGCACAGACACAGACGGTAAAGATTCAACATCAATATTTTCCTCCATTTTCCTAAACTGCTCTGTGGGTTTTATGGAAACAACGATGCAGGAGGCAGAAAGGTCTGAAAGAGTAAGGCTGCTACTCATCCATGGATGATATTTATCACTCTGACAGCCCCCCTGTTTAAAGACCACCATATGCACTCAGACTTTTCTGAAATCAGATCAAATATGTATCTCTCGTCTCCCATAACAAGTCTTTCTTATCTGAGTGTTTTGCTCTCTCTGTTCCTCTGATTTCTGAATCTTTTACCCACCCCTGTCTCCGTATCTCTCCCTCCATAATGTCTGCCCTCTCAACAACAGAGACACACTCTTAATCATCCCAACTGCAGGATACAGAGAAAGAGAAACAATTAATAATTGATCTGCTCTTAGCAGCTCTGTGGCTCACAGGAGCTCACATCAAGTAACAGTACCGGAGAAATGAGGAAGAGGAGAATGAACGAAGACTCATGAGGTTGTGGTCTTTGAGTGGCTTGCCCTTGGGCTGAATGGGATGCTGTTGCCATGGAGACAGAGCCCTATCCTGTCCCCTTTGAGATGAGCCGAGCAGGTGCGGAGTGAACCCACAAAGGCCAGAGCCTGATTAGTAAAGCAGTAAGGCCTTTCAGTGGTTACAAACACTGCAATGCTCACATAATGAGGCCTCAGTACTCAGGCAAGGTAGTTAGAGAGAGCTTGCACCAGGAATAATGATATAAATGGTACAAGAAAGGAAGCTTTTTTAAGATTTAGTGAGTAATCCATTAACAAACTTCGTGTTAAAGAGTTCTGAAAGTTTGTTGTGTAATGAACAAGAAATTAAACGAGTAATTCTATTGTACTGTATACTAATTCCAGAGAAAGGCATTGCAGGCATATCTTGAACACACTACCACGTCTGTCTTAACAATGATTTACAGTCTAGCACTGGGTTTTAAGTTTGATTCTTGTCGATAAAACACACGGCCTATAATCTTTTATAAACAATATAAATAATCTATATGATATAAATGATCTGATTCTGATGGAAGATAAAATATGCATCCCAGCTTGCTTGATTGTTTTTTTGCCCCTATTCTGGCTGTTCTCCTGGAGTTCACATGATGAAATATCAAAATCTGTAACATCCACTATATTTATTAGAAGCAGCATCACTGTTGTTTGTGACTGTGTTTTTTAAATTACGTATTTATTCCACGTATTTGTCAGTTGTGTCTAAAGAGAGTGCAAGAGAGAGACAAGCGGGCACACAGACACACACAGAGAAATTCAAAAGGTTAGTAAAGATCAACTCTATGTGTCATTAGAGAGGAGAAGAGGAGAATGGCTTGTTGAGTGGCACGGAGAAATGTGCCTCTGGTGTGAACTGCCAGGCACCTGCTGCCGCGAGAATTGATGTATCATGTTTGTGTGTGTGTCCCTGGCGTGAGGGATATATTTTACACTGTATGTATTATCTTCTCCAAAGGCTATGCAGCTGTGAATACAAGCACTGAGTATTGAATGATTCTATACATAGATACAGTACCTGAACACTGTTGTTGCCTATAGTGGTGGCTCTCTTAACACGTCTGACTAATCCCATTGCTTCCCCAAGTAGCATGGCCACCCGGCGCTCCATGTTGGCGTGGAAGGTCCTCTCACTCACTTTCTGGTCCAGCACACCCAGGAGCACTATGTACATGGACAAAAGGAAACACATACAGAGTATCAGTACAAAGGGTCTCAGATTTAGCAGCTTTTCTCCATGCCAAGCAGTGAAACCATCATACCTGTTCTAACCCAGGAGGAGCGAAGCACCTGGCTGGTGTTCAACTCTGGATAATGGAAAGCTGTTGGAAAAAGTATGAAAGGATGTTTAAGAAGACAAAGTTTTAACCTAGGTTAATTGTTGGGGATTAGAATCAGTAAACACACCAGCTACCAGCAGTGACATATGAGTGAGTGGAAATAACCAAACATATAGGCAACTTTGTGGTACTCACGCTCAGCAATCTGCAGAACAGGAAAGCCCATGTAATAGCTGAATTCCACCATTGTGAGCGTCATCAGAGCATTGCTGACCTCTGACCCCATCAGATAACCCCTTGAAACACGCACAGTGAAGGTGATGTCCACCGGCTGCCTCACTAGCCGTTGTTCCTGATATTTAGGAGCAGCCATGGTGATGTTTATAATCTAAAACACAATTTGAGATGTACTGTTCAGCGGACAGACTATTACACAACAATATGTACAAAACATTCCATTCAATTCTGCTGCTGATGTAGTTTCTGGGAAAGCTTGTCTGTCTCCTACAGAGTGAATGAATGAAAAAATCATTGGCTTCAGTGATTGGAAAGTAGACCACAAAATTAGGCAGTGTGGCCAAGGGCACAGTTTGCTAGTTGTTCATAAAACATTTCCATGCTGCAACAAATGCTTGATTTAATCCTTACATTTATTCCAACTAAAAGACTATAATACAGGCATCAGTGTAATAGGATTACACAAAACTCTACTGAAGCCAACTACCCACATAGCCAAATAAGCTCTTTATTAACAAACAGTAAGCTCCTTTAATACTCAACAACTAGAGCATGAACTCTTTCAAGTACAAGTATCCAAGTGAAGTACCCTGGGGTCTTGTTCATGATGGTAAAATGGAAAAGAGGTGGACAGGAGGATTGGTGTGGCATCCACCGTGACAGTCGCAGTACAGAAGGAGCTGAGCTTGAACCCTTGGTCATAACCTCTGCATAGTGACCAAAAGACTGGGATTGTGGATACAGCTGGCCAATATTAGCTTCCTTTGCTGAGTGTCTGTGCTCAAAAGAGTGCACACACTTCCAAAAGAATCTCGTAGTGGAATAGTCTCTTTTTTCTGGAATGAGCCAAGTGCTCTGGGTGTCTTATTAATATGAGACCCAACAGTAAGTACTGGGGAATACGGATGAGGAGAGTGATGTCTCGGCTACTATGCTTACCATGGCGATATCGCCACCCAGGCCTAACAAATTATAGAAAATTTATAGATGGACAGATTGAGCATTAATCTGATTCTGTCAAACCAAACCAGTAATTTAGGTTTTACAGCAAACAGTTATCTTGATAAGGTAGCTTTGTCTGACTCTGCAGGCAACCATTTCTGAAATTCAAAAGCCTTAACAATTGTGATTGTTTAGGACAGCTCCGGTTTGCAACACAGTATCCCAATCAAAGTCAGCCTACGCTGCAGCAATCACAGTCATCCACTGGTGAAGTGACTGGGGGCAGCCTGGGGTCGGCTCATTCAGCAAACAAGCCTCAGGTTTTGCTGGGTTTTTTTAGGGCTATTATTCACAAGGCTCAAGCTTATAGGCACTGGGTCATTCAGCTTTGAGGTCCGACGCAAAATGAAATGCACCGTAATGAAAACATCTCGTGCGAGGCTATTCATATTCATCATCAGATCCCACTCACTTGTACTGTGAAGTTGGTTGACTCCTTTGAGCGCCGACGCACTTCTGCAAAGGCCATGGTCAAACCTTTCTCTATGCTCTCACTGAAGTTGCAGAACCGCACATCAATGTGACTGGGAACAAACTGCAGCACTGCACAGAGTGAAGACAAGAGAGTTTTAGATCAAGTTTAAAAACTAAAGGTTATGACAAACAATTTAAATGTTGAGAACAAGACAGCTAGTTGAAAGGTCATTTACCTGTGTGGATTTGATATTTACGGTCTGGTGTTGTCCAGCTGGGAGACACAGACAGGAAGCGACGACCAGACCTTCGCAAAGCACTGATGACAGATATGGCTGTGTACACAACTGGCCCTGACACCACCCGAAACACAAACTTTGGAGGGGGGTCCACAACCTTCATAGACAAAGCAGAAATATATGACATAGACAAATCAGTCATAAGAGTCATTCATTCACAGTTAAGTGGCTTGTGGTAAATAAGCAGCTGATGGTTTTAAGAGGTCATCGTGGTCTTGTGGATCTTTGATGTGACTACTATTGTGATTTGTGTATCACATAACCACTGATATAAAAGAAAACACTCAGGAAGTGGTCTGGCCTTCAAGGTTCAACTGAAGCACTGTGATATACACTTTTGCTCACACACATAAAGTACATGCACACACACCCACACAAACACAGCCATACACAATTACTGTGTGTGAGGGCCATTACCCAGCCCATCCACTTCAGAATCACTTTATATTCTAATAGGATCTCTTTTACATCATAATGTGTGAATGTTGCCATTGCATGCCCTTCCTAATGGCTCAAACTAACATGCACAGTATTACTTCAGAATATCTTAACCCCTGTTGAGATAAATTTACCTGTAGTTCCACAGATTTGTTGAATTCCCCTTTCAGTATGTCTCTCACTTGAGATTTCGCATATCCAACAGTTGCCCCCGAAGGAAACCCTTCATAGGGAAAGCACAAGAATGGTTATAGTCTTATTCCATTATAACAAAGTTCTCATATATGTATTTAAAATTAAAATGATCTATTTAAGTCACACTTAAATTTCATACATCATACATGTGGGTTACATAATTTGTTGTAATATAAAACAAAGCAAAATTAAACGTCAAACTTACCAATTTTTACTAAATAAGCAGGCTTGTCATGGTTGCATAGGTACTGCCTTGATGTTGATGTTGTCGCTGTGGTTGTGGTTTTTCTACTGGTGGTCGAGATGATGTTGACACTAGTAGAGGCTTCAGAGGTGGTAGTAGTTCTAGCTGCAGTTTGATGAGAAGTAGTGGTGGCAGTTGTTGTTGTGGGTACAGCAGAGTCTGTATTAGCTTCACTGTTAGTTGGGATCAAGGTCATTGTAGCTGGGATGTCAACTGCATCTTCAGTCACCCCCTGATCACCCAACACGTCTGGGAGGACCAAGGTAACATTAGATGTGGGTTCAGATGAAACTGAAGTGATATTAAGAGTTTGTTCAGTAGTAAAAGTAGAGTCTTGGGGAGTTACTTCTGTTGTTTCAGCAGTTGTGTTGGCAGCAGGCTCAGTGGGAACTGCGGAGAAGGCTATAGTTGCAGTTAAGACAGGAGTGGTATGTATGGTACTTTGTGGGAATGACTCTGTAACAAACCAATGGACGTCTGTCAGAGAGAAGGAAGATGTTGCATCATCTGGCAGCAAAGGCGTGGCACTGGATGGCATAGCTTCTGTCAATGCAATGCTGTCCAAGCCAACAGTTAGTGTAGGTGTAGACCAATCTGTGGTGGACACCTGACTACCCCATGTGGAAGAAGAGGGATCAAAGAAGTGGGTTGGGACTATGGAAGGATCCAGAAAAGGCTCAGAAGCATTTACTAGCTGAGGACTCTCCTCTGTGGTTACTACTAAAGTTGATTCGTCATTAGGCTCAAATCCTGACAGATCACTAGAGGACTCGTCCTCAGTCGATTTGGTATCATTGGTAAAGCTGCTGGTGGGTGTGATGTCTGTAGCACTGATGGACACCACAGTAACATTCCCTCTGTGTTCAGCTCCAGTGTCTGAATCATTGTTGTTCTCCTTTGTCAACTGAGTTGTGTAATACTCCAAGCTGTTCATGTCAGGTAAGAGGACATCTGTCGGTTGAATTGTGAAAGTATCGGGCCAATCTATGTCTGATGCGTCAGGTATATCACTGTTAGATGTAGGAGTAGGTTCCAGTGTATAATGAATTGTAGAGGAAATAGGGGATGGATAAATGGATTTTAGTGGAACGATGGTGTTGTATGCTGTCATAAGGCTGGTAGAAGGTGAGACATGAAGAGGATGCAACGACGAAGGGGATATACCCACTCTGGAAGGGAAGGATGTGTCATAGCTTTCTGTATAGTCCTCCAGATCATACGAGTCAGAGGGTAACTTGGTGACCAGAGAGTAGTCCTCTCCTTCCGCATTTAAGAATGACATTGTCTCCAAGTAGTCCCCAGACCCCCAGTCCAATTCCATGGTGTTGGTGGGGTAGAAGTCCTCTGGAGAGATCTCTGTGGGTTCAGATGAAGGTGATGTATGGTGGGGGGCGATGAAAGGCACATTGTAGCCAGGGGCCAGAATCTTATCTGGGTTGGATAGCATGTTTATGTCATGTGCTGGTTTCTTCTCCTCCATGGGGGCACTGCTGGGGTTCAGCTGGTTCACATCCAGAATATCACTATAAGATTCATCTGCCAGAGAGTCAGCAAAAGCTAGTTTAGGCAGCTCAAAAGGCTGACCAGGAGGTGAGGTCAGTGATTGCTCTGATGCACCATCCTGCTGCTTGCTGAAAGTTACTTTCTGCTCAGAATTAAGACCTAGCTGAGGTGTTGTTGACCTTGTAAAAGCAGAGGGGCTTAACAGTGTTATAGATACATTTGACTGAGGCTGCAGCTGGGATCTTGTAGGCATGGGAGAGGGAGAGGAAGATTGCTTGGCAGAGTTTGTCCAGGCCAACTTCCAGTCTGTGGAGAGTTTATCTGGTGCCTCAAATTGTGGACTAGACCCCAATACAGGTTCAGAGGGGCTTAATGATGGAGTGGAAAGAGGATGTGATTCTTCTGCAAGGAGGTCACTTGCTGTGAAGGATTTGGAGTTTTCAGAAGCAACGTGCCCCCACTGAAAATGTGCGATGTCAGCAGTCCTAACTTCATAGTTTGGCTCAGAAATGGATGGCAGGGCACGAGGTGAGTCTGGGCTCTCAAAGGCAGTATAATGTGAGGCTGGTAAGGCTGATGGTGATGACTCTGTTGAACTTGGAACATCTCCAATAAATCCCATGGGGTGGTGTGTGGAATCCAACAGAGACTCATCTGCAGTAGAACAAAGAATACGCTTCAGTTTAGTATTGAATCACAGAAAGATTCATTGCTGACTTGGCATGACTGTTTCCATTAACTGTTATCATTCACACACTCTTTTATTCACTAATATATCTGTACCAGTATAACTGATTATTACGATTGATTATATTTTCTCCACAACTTCTGAATGTAAATGATTTAGAAAAGCTTTTATACACACTGTAACCTGCCAATCCGTATCTTACATCAGCCCTACTATTTATACAACTATAATTTCATCAGTTTTAGCATAAATAGTGCGGCCAAATGGTTAATCAGAGAAACAAGACCGAACATGACTTTGTATGGCAGTCAGGCATGAATCCTACAGTAGTCTTAGATGTATAACTGGACATGAACAACAACGGCATTACATCAGTGGGGTAACTTTAGTTTGAAAACAGTGTAAGGCTCCCTGTGATCTAAACGACCAAAATGAACATTGATCTGTGAGGAAACAACAAAAAATATTGGACATGCTCACAAGGCCGTTATATAGGATTCCTATTCATCATGAAATGGGTCATTCTAACCCTGCTCTCCTCTGGAACAGAGGTCACAGTGATAAATAGACATACGGTACAGTAAGACACTTTATTGAATCTGTAGGAGAAAGCTGTGATGGGTTTAGGATGCTGTATGTAACCTTGGCCTATATTTAGTTAAAATCAATACTTTATTGACAGATGATTTATAAAGTGCAAGTATTGATACATGCAGTGGAATTTGAGATCTATGAATTGCATGGTTGGTTTAACAGAAAACACTCTTTCAGCCAGCTAACTCTTCCCCATATTACAGATACCTGCAACATATAAGAAGTACAACCGACATTTACCACTTCACTTTGTGCTTGTTGACCCCTAAGAAAAATCATTTGACTGGATCAGCCGTCTACTAACCCTAACCCTAACCTTAATGTAACTAATGTCCTGTTTGCTAAAGTGGCTACAAAATGGAACCATTAATCCTGAGGAAAATGCCAATAAGAGGATGGAGAAAGGAAACACTCACAGGCTAATACACTGCCATGATGAAAAGCACATGCCAGGCTACAATGTGGACTCAGTAAAAGCTGGCCATGACTCTTTTCCTCACTTCCAGTTTTGAACTATGGGAATATGCTGACATGCATCCACTGACCGTATTTTCCAAAATGAATGAGTGGTCGTTCTGGCTCAGCACTTTGATGGCCTGGGCTTTTCACCGATGCACTCTAGGGAGAACATCTCATATCCCTTTTTATGGTACCTGACCTTTGACTGATTAATGGTGCAATTTTCAGCACATCAGGAAGCAACTGTACCTCTTACACAGAACATTAAAATCCTTAAGGGTGACATTAGACTACTGTAAAATGGCAAATGTGGCTTATGCAACACATTTCAGACTTAATTCGATTGCCAGAGGCCTTTCTCTCCATATTGCATAACATAGTGTATCATGCATGATTTAATTTCGGAAGTGCCTTGATTACACTACATGGTCAGGGTCTAACATGTAAGGGAAAGGAACAGAATGATTCTTAAATAATTCAAAGTAATAGACCTTTAAACAGTTTGATGTAGCTGTAAGTTTCCCTTTTTTATCTGCTCAAAAGTCTTTTGATACATTTTCTAGAAGAATAATAGCTCAAACAGAAGTTTCATGGTTCTGCTGAAAGAAACCTTTGTACATGGTTGCCTCAACAGCATTGTGACACAGGAGCTGTTGGCAGATAAACAGGACAGATAAAGGGAGATGAGTTAAGGTGCCTGCTTACACTAAAGGAAATGCTATCTTATGGTTCTTGGGGTTGTAAATAATCAAAAATGAACAATAATGCATGCATAGAGAGTATACATAAGCATAACAAACATAAACAAACCACATCAAGGAGAAAATACACATAATTCAACGCAGACTGTGTGTCTTAAATTTGTCCTTGAAAGTAGGTCTTGAACAGAGCAAGACTTTAAAGGCTTCATTATTGCCATTGCCAGAAGCAAGCCACCAGCAGCCTCTACATAGTGACTCAGCAGCTGCTGATAATGCTGCTGCTCTTTGTAGTGTACATCAGCTCTGCAGAATCATACACACTTGAAAATAGCCACAGAATCAGCTGAGGAAGAAGACTATTTTTAATACTGGGAGCACAGAACAGATCACTTATAAAAAGCATCAACAAAAAAGAATATACTTCTGGAGCGTCATCTTCAATTTAGTGAATCGCTTCATACAAGACTGCTGCTGGCTTGGCCCGGGAGAAAACTCCCAACTTGATTATAACCTACACTGGTACCTTAATTGAGTCAACATGCTATTATACCAAAGCCCATTGGAAAGGACTTGGAAGGGAAAAGCCAAGACTTTCTTCTCTGAAGGCGAGTCTGTGCTGCACATTCTCCAAACTGCCACACAGCTCCTTGTCTGCTATGCCAAGAGTTTGAACCCCCAGGGATGTATCACACAGCTGGGCAGATGCACACACTCTTGCACATGCACGTTCGGAGTAGACCAAGTAATGTTCTTAACCATTAATAAGAGGATCTAGTCGCCTGCTCTACACAAGTAGTTTATTGATGGCCTGATTTCTCAGTTTTGTGGGGACGTTATAAATAATCACAAGGACGGAGCATGGAAAGGAGAAGCCACAGCATTCTCTTTGCTCTGCTCTATCAAGTGTATGTGTTATTCTCTGTCCACTGAAACATACATTATACTGATAAACTCTGCACTTCACTTTGCTTTTGGCTGTTAACAAACATACATTTTAAATGCTACAGATACATAAAATAACAGCCAAAGACTATACAAACAAGCTCAGTGGGATACCATGTTAGTACACACTGATGTTTGAGGTCATACTGTGGTACATGACCCCAAAATGTCACCTCATCTCAGCACAGCCCTACAGTGAAAAACACATTCATTTATACTCACATTTAGAACAATTAGACACGCATGAATGGATGAAAAAACATCCAGCTAATTAAGACAAAGACTATTATTGACAGGTGATTAATATTGATAATTGTACCGATGATGACAACTGTGAAAATGAGGATGATGATAAGAATACAGTTTTAAATATTTTCATAAAAAAAAGAAAAAGAAAAACCTATAAAATAAAACTCCAAACTGTGCTAAGTCAAAGCTGAATAATGACTGTAGAAAGACCTGGATGGTCGTTCTTAATAATTAAGCAGGCATGGTCTAAATATGTGATAGCTAATTCTCGGTAATGACAGTCAGAGCTCTCAGTGCAACAGACAGCAAGTGAGACTGGGCTTAACTGGGGCTGACATTACAGTAAGCAGATATCGACAAAGGCCTTCAAGACCAAACTGCACTGCCACCTGTCCCCCGAAACACGAGCGTGTCACACTCGGGTGGCCTCTCATTGTTGGGCCCGTCTGTGAAACTAAGCACTAAGACCCACAAGAGCATAAATGTCAAGTGCTCAGCTCATGTAAATGAGTAGAAACGTTTTTTTCTCCTCTTTTCCTAATGCCACTCTCCCAGTCATTTACCTTTTCTCTTTCTGGTAGTATGATAATCATTTCCACAATAGAACCTCTTTTCAATGCCAATAACTCATTACAGCAACAGTGTCAGGCTGTTATTGCTTGTTATTATAGCAATAAATAACATGTCTAGTTTATTAAGACTCATACAAGCAGCTTAATAGAAGAAATATTATCCCGGTTCATCACAAAGAAGTTATATCCTTGGTGGAGACATGAATGATAAAATATGGCACAGTCTCATTACTCTGACATCACTGAAAAATGAATGCTGGGAGTGTTTCATTGATTCATTACATGAAAGATCCCACGCTAATGAGATTTAATTTCCATTTATCAGGCCTTGACGTGTCTTTAAGCCTAGACTTGGTCTAATGAATAGCTGCCTTGTAAATGAGCTGTACTAAATTTGCATTTGACCAAATTGACACGTTAACAAGTCCCTTGTAATTTACTGTGAGCCTTCTACTATACGTGGCTTATAAACAGGTAGTTATTCTATTGTATTACTACCTCTATTAATCTGTCACATGAACAGCAGCATTTGGAAAGTAAGTGAAAGCATGAAGTGTGTGTAGTTCTAGAAAAAAACCCTTTGCTCTTCTCTACTAGGTGTTTAAGAGTATCAATTCCCAGTGAACTCATTAATACATTTCCATCTGTAATAGCTGATTCAGTGAAAACCCATTTGTCCATATTTAAGCAGATGATGACACAAAAATAATGTCTTTCTCGTGGCTTGGCTGGTTTGTTCTGCTTCTGTTTATACATACAGTTACAGGCTTGGATCCCTGCCAGCAATCATGTAAAAAGGATTCTGGATGGGGATTATTACTGCTGTTGGCTGATCTGATGTTCCTTTATAAAATCCCCACAATAGCATAAAAAGAAATGGAACAGGGTAGAGAGACTGTGCTCAAGGCAGACACAACTTCAGGCATCTGAAATAGCACTAACCCATTTACCCAGGATGAATATTGGCAAAATCTTATGAGCTCATGTATTGGATCATCACAGCCCTCCACTAACCTATATATGTGTCTGACTGTTTCGGATAGCCCTACAGAGGCCCACTGTGCCTGAATGATCTAGTTATTACACGTGCAAATTAAGACAGAAGTAACACGTTTTTCTATTTGACTCTGGTGGTCTATCGGTGGCATATTTTTGTTTTGCTTGCTTAATTTTACTTTGTTGAATTTAACCTTTACAGAATGCTAACAGTTTGTTTCTTAAAGGGCAGTCACAGTGGGGAGATTTTATTGTATAGCCTCCTCCGACAGATGAATAAGTAAGAATATGTTTAGATACATCTCTTAATTTAAAGGGCAAGAAATGTATTGCTTTGACTATTGCATTTATTGCAGTTCAGCTCTTTCTGTTTTTCTTTTTTTTCTTCATCATTCAGTGTCAATGTGTTATGTATTAACATTTTATGATTTTAAGATTTTAGAATTATTTTCC